AGACTTTCAAGTTAGAGAAATTGAAAATGGTAAAAATAAATAGAAAATCAGAGGGAAGAGAAATTTTGCCAAGTGCAAATAGAAATGGCACTCACAAAAATATGACACAATTTTCAAAAGGTTTGAGCAAGTAAATCAAGATTGGATTGTTTTTGTTTCTTGATTTTTTGGGCTTTAGAAACTTTTACAATATATTATTTAATAAAAAAAGAAAAAGGGAAATTAGAGATGGTATTGAATGAGGAGAGGTTGAAGATAATAAAAAAAGAAAAAAGGAAATTAGAGATGGTATTGAATGAGGAGAGGTTGAAGATGAAGGTGCAGTGCAGGCTATTTATAAAACAGAGGAAATACAAAATTGTAAAATACAAATTGGTCGGTCTTTTTTCTAGTCAACTTTCAAAATTATGTCAATAGTAATAAGGAAATGAAAAAAGAAAATAAAATTTATTTAATGAAAAAACTGCCCACCGCCTAAAGGAGGTCCAAACAATGTGTAGAATATAGTCTATGTATGTTTTTATTGACTTCATACTGACACAACATAAGAAAGTGATGTCTTGTAACAAGTCGCCATGCAGCGCGTGTTGTATTTTTGGTGAAAAATGAAAAATTGAGAGAAGCAAAAAGTTTTTGATTTATTGTAGGTAAATAAATTTAACTGAAGATTACAAATATGGATGGTGGTGGCTGAGCTAGATCTCTATCAATTTACAAAGAAGAGTTATTACCATTTAATATTTATACTAACTTATAGTTACATATTTTCACTTTTTTTTTTTTTTTTTACNTCATCTCTGTCTATAAAACTATCTACTTGTAAGTTTCTTTATCATTCAAAGGTATAACTAGTGAGGGAAAATTTTCCATTGGCATAGCATAGAGTGTCAATTGAATTTTAGAATTTGACTAAATTAGTAATTTGTAAGCGTTGTCATATTTTTAATGATATATTATAAATTATTACATGTATGTTTTAACTTTAATATCATTTCTAAACCTATAATATTTATTGTGAAGTATTTTATTGAAACAAACAATTAGCACCATGTAATACACTAGTATTGTAATCTATTAGCTTATAACGAAGTATACATTATTACTGAAAAATACGCCTCCCTATTTTAAGACGAACTAACTCGGACAAACTGTTCCCATGGTGGCCCACAAACTTAAGGATATCACGAAAGACACTAGAAAAGTTGTTATGCAGATTTAACAGTTAGACAACTATATTTTTTCAACATATATGCATATTTTTAAATTGAAATATCATACTCTTTGAAAAAAACCACATAAGTATTCATTTTTGCTAAACAAAAAATGTATGACATCGTCCCTAACTGTTAGTTCATCTCACACAAGAATTGCATTAAAAGAAGTCATCAACAACAAACTTATGTAATTCATGTAAGAATACAAATGATAAAAGATATTTAAAATCCCCACTCTAAATGAAAAAACCTAACAAGGAATAAATTATTTACCGTCATTGTTGGACTTTGATATTTCCTTCTGGTTAGAAATGGAAAATCAGCTCTATAAGAGGAAAATACTATTCAATGAGGTTATCAATTGTGAGCAATGTGTGATGAGGTTCCCATCACTATATATAAGAACAAAAAGTTAGGTCTTCAAAACAAATAAAATATAAAGATATTTTTAAGCTGTCTTTTTATATTGAGAACCTTTGGATCATTATAAATTAGACGCTAAGGCCTCTCATCCATCAAAAATAAAGAGAATATGGTTCTTTGTTGATGTTAATTATGGAACCCTCAAACAATGGTGGGCTTTTGAGCTTGAGTATATTAATGTTCCATATAAGTAATTGAAACACCCATCATTTATATATCAGTCAAATATTTTCCTTTTAGTGGGAATAATTAGAATATGAGTCTGGTCCAAAAATGGGGATGGTTTTTGGTTCAATATTTTTACTTAAAATTCATTTGTTTTAGTGTGTGTGTGTGTGTGTTTGTTTGGTGTAATGAGAGGTAGTTTAATTTACCATAATTTTGATGGGCAAATTCATGTTCTTTTTCTATCTGTTAGTTGGGTTTACCCAAATTTAAGGTTACACAAAGGCACTCATTCTAAGAAGAGAGGTATCTTCAAAATTTTAAGTGGGATATATTTGTGTGCCCATAATTAGTTTAGTCAAAAATATGGACAATGCTACATGTATAATTGTAGTTTACAATATTGGTTGACAACTTAGTTAAACAGTAATGCTAAGGAGCCAACTGTTGGCTCCGTTATGGAGCCAACAGTCAATGGGACAGCTCCATGTGGGTTGTCCCACATTGGAGCCATGTGGGACAGCCCCACATGGAGCTGTCCCATTAATTGTTGGCTCCATAGCCAACAGTTGGCTTTTTAGCATTACTACTTAGTTAAAAGTATCATTAACTCAAATCTCAACCACTCACATCATACCACATCATGTTGTCATTGAATGTTGTACAAAAAAGTTGTACAAATAGCTTTTTCCTAAAAATATATATATAAATCCTATGTAACTATTAATTCATGTGGAATATTGATGCATTAGATTAGTGTTGGCTAGCAATTTGTTTACTTGATGTGAAATTGGATATGGTTCATGAGTTAATTTATTTTGTCAAATTAATTTATCAACGGAATTAGTATAAACAATAATATCTGAATTGTAACTCTTAATTATCATCTTAGATACAATTCATACTTTATTATGGTGTGAGTTTTCAGTGTGAACAACATGTGCACAAAGCTAATGGAGAATGTACATAAAAAGGCATCTTTTGATGTGATATTTTCCAGACTCAGTTCCTGGAAAATAAAAAAATCACTTTTTACTCATTTTTTTCCAAAATAGTGTATTTGAAAACTACCACTACCAGCGTGTCTTAATTTGACCATGTCACTAGTAATATAAGATTCCGAAAGTGAATTTATTTAGTAATTAGTATATAAAAACTGCTACTAGTGATTCATTAGTAAATTATTAGATAAGTGTAAGGATTAAACCTAGTATTTATTGGCTAATGGCTAGTCACATTTGTTGTTTACTTATACATATAATATAATAATGATTGATTGTTGGATTGGATGTTTTCGAATCCTAAAATCATTTTGTTCATTTTTTCGAGTCTTGAAGTAATT